CTCCAGTGTAAGTCTAAGTCTTAAGTCTTTTCTTATTCTCTTTGAAAATACAGTTCTGATTAATATAGATAGGAAAACAGTGGTTAAGTTTCCCTTTTCTTTCAATTGTCAGAGAGACCATAGATTGTGGTAGGGAGAAAAATTATACTTTATTATACAAATATCTATTTGTAGTCCTTTGTGAAATCTTGGCGACTCGCTTACTTTGCTTTGCCTCCCCAGATGGTTTTAATTGGTTGAAAAATTGAAACCACTTTGTTTTGATTTTAGTGTTTACTATAGTCAGATACATTATAGGCATACTAATATTAGTTTAGCTAGATGGAAAAAGCGTTAGCTTAAAGGATAAGTAAATTGGGAGAAGGCAGAGAGTCAGAACAAGATTTATGTGCTCTACAAGAGCAGACTGCTGCTGATCTCCACATTTGCAAAAGGCTAATTAGGAATTTCAGTTTTTGTGCTTCTGTTGAGGTTTATGTGGCAGAATTTGAAGGGTTTCTGCCTTGAATTTGGGCTTTTAGCCTATGAAAATATAGCTTTATACTTTATGCTAAATAAACACATTTTCAATAACTAAGAGCTGTACTGAACCCAAGACAGTACTGTAAGCAATGTGGATGATTTTGTTGTTTCCCCACCTTTACCATGACGGTTACCCAAAGTTTATATTCAGCTGTGCGTTTTGGTTCAGCAAATTCAAACTAAGTTCCCCAACAAGTTTTCTAATGTGTTTTTTGTCTTTGATATATGGATGATTTACTCTACTATATGAAGTATGACAGTTAAGTGCTGAGCCATAATCTACACATGAAGATGTCTTATTTCTTTAATTTCATATTTGAAATTTCTACTAATAATGTTATATTTATATTGTACATTATGTGAAAATGGGCAGTAGCTGTGCCCAAGAAGCATAACATTACTATCAAATCTTGATTATCCATGCTAATAAAGGTGAGAATTGGTAGGGACGTGTATAGGTTCCAGATCAGTACAAATCACTTAACATTTATTTCATTGTGACATACATTTCATTATATTTTGTGTGTTCATGTACATCTGTATGTGTATATACGAGAGTTCTTAAAAATTTTTATGGAAATATTAGTATTATCTTTTAATTCTATTTTTCCAAGAACTTTTTGAAGTACCCTCATGTTTGTGTGTATGTATATCACAAATTTATCAAAATGTTTATCATAATTTTGCTTTTGTTCTAAGGCTATTTTTTTTAATTTGTAATTTGCATTTCCCCTGCATATAGCAGTAGAGGTGGTCAGTGAGATGGTAGCTCAGAATTCCTTGGTTAGGGGGCCGGCCCGGTCGCCGCTTGGGAAGCGCGGCGGCGCTCCCGCCCGAGGGTTCGGATCCCACATACAGACCGGTTCCC